GGGCTCACAGTGAAGAGGAAGTAAATAGGAAAGGGCTCACAATGAAGGGAAGTGAACAGGAAAGGACTCACAGTGAAGAGGAAGTGAACAGGAAAGGGCTCACAGTGAAGAGGAAGTGAACAGGAAAGGGCTCACAGTGAAGAGGAAGTGAACAGGAAAGGGCTCACAGTGAAGAGGAAGTGAACAGGAAAGGGCTCACAGTGAAGAGGAAGTGAACAGGAAAGGGCTCACAGTGAAGAGGAAGTGAACAGGAAAGGGCTCACAGTGAAGAGGAAGTGAACAGGAAAGGGCTCACAGTGAAGAGGAAGTGAACAGGAAAGGGCTCACAGTGAAGAGGAAGTGAACAGGAAAGGACTCACAATGAAGAAGAAGTGAACAGGAAAGGGCTCATAGTAAAGAAGTCAACAGGAAAGGGCTCACAGTGAAGAGGAAGTGAACAGGAAAGGGCTCTCAGTGAAGGGGTTCATTGTTGTTTAACTTGCTGGTAGGGTGAGAAGATGGGTCTGTATTTCCAGAAGCCCATCCCAGGATCTAGAAGCAGGTAGATGTGGCTGGTGGGTATTTGTATGGAAGTAGAGGGAGGTAGTGGTGAAGGCCTACTATGAGTGAATAAATGAATGGATGGAGGAATGAATGACTGCAGTCTCTACTCCTTCAGGAGGGAGGCTGTACCTTTACCAAGTTGACTGACCTGTTCTTTTACTTCTCAAAGAGTTTATTAAAACCTCAGTTAATAGTCTCATGCTTTGAGAAAACTCTCACCAAAGGGAGGAAAGGAATAATTAGCTTAAATCCTTCTCATATTTAAGCAGGGAATTCAGCATGCATCGAGACATGGTTCATGTGTTTTGGATAATCTGCACAGTTTGGGATCGACACCTCCCCCACCCCTTTCAAATCATTTTTGGTTAGGATACCAGGAATGAAGATTAATGGCTCCATTATTATTTCCTCTTCATGCAAGGCTTTTTAACGTGCCTGACCTTTGTCCCAACTCTCCTCTGAATCATGTCTGCTTCAATTACCCCTTCTTTGTTGCATCCCAGGAAAGTGTGCTTACGTGACGCACCAAATGCAGGGTTGGTTTCAAAGCGTCACGTGATGACCGGGTAGACAAGCAACAACAGTGACTTACCATCCCACTGTCCTTTGATCTCAGAGGCATCAAGACAAACATCTTATCTATAAATTTACCCCAGGTGCAGCATGTGAGAATGATAGATCCATACCGATGCATCTGGATGCTTAATAATGAAAATGATAAAATAATAATTCTTTTTTAAAGTGCTGTTAGGTATTGTGCCCAAACTGTCAGTGAAATACCAGAGCTGGAATTTGAACCTGGACAGTCTGGCTCTATCTGTGTTGAAACCTTGCTGGAAGCATAGACATGGTTTGAGCAATATTTGTTAGTAATGCACCTCCAATGTTTTGTCTTACTAAATCGCCAGTCTTTGCATATCTCACTTCATAACACTCCAGAGAAATGGGCAAAGAACATGAAGGGCCACAGCAAAGTGTATTTCTCTCCTCCCAAGGTCTTCTTATGCAGAGGAAGAATTCTGATTTAACATAAATTCATGTTTAAGTGTAAAAAGATAACAGTTTTCGTTAAGCTTAAGTGTGATCTATCATGTAATATATTTTGAAATTCTTTTCGCATACATTATTAGTGTAATTCCATATGTTCATATTCTTAGAAAAGACTGAGTTAAAAATAATTTTGTTGAGCTGAAGTATAATGAATTTTAGAAAATTTTCACAGAGATTATTAATGTGATTCCATACGTTCATGTTCTTAGGAGAGACTGAGTTAAAAGTGGATACTAAGACTGGGATTGTAGCTCAGTAGTAGAGTGTTGGCCCGGCATGGGGTCCGGGATTCAATCATCTTCTCTACAGAATAAATAAAAACAGAAAACACACAACAATAAAAACAAAACCCCCTTTCAAAGTCCCTCCATATGGTAAGTATAAATTTGATTTGAAATCTCTGTGCCTAGAAGGGTTTTGTTATATAAATCAAGAACATAAGTCTATCTCCACAGTGACCACAGACTTGAGTCTTTAGTATTCATACTTTTAATTTGAATTATAACACTTTTTGTTATGGCAAGGCAATATTGACATTTTTTTTTTCAAGTAAAGTTCTCATATGGTGCTGCCTGTCAGATGTACCCTACCAAGGAAGAGGTTCTGATGTTTAGGTTTCTTGGTAATGAGTTTAGCATTGTGAAAATGATACAGCTGTTTGTTCCTGTCACATAGAATAGTTAATGTCTTGCCGATTTTAATTGGTTTGATGGACCAATGTGGTGGACCTGAGTATATCAGTCACTTGTGAGTAACTTCTTTGGCTCTATAAACTGTAATGCCAGACAAATTAGCTCATAGGCCCATAAATCATTCTTGGCCCAAGTTTGGGGACATTTTCAGTCAACCATAGCTGCTTTGATATTTGAAATTTGCTGATGCTTTTGGGTCAGAAAAGAATTTATGTCCCTGAACTACTCTTCAGTTATTGTGATTGTCTTCATCCCTGTCCCTAGAGTTGAGGTCAATGAAATATGAGTAAGAACTGTATTCAGCTGTTTAGGTGACCCTTGCTTTCCACAGCTTCCCAATACCTGATGCCATAGCTGTTAGATTAACTGTTGACGATGCCAGGGAATATTCTCTCAAGCTAGAGCCTCCTAATACAAGGCCCAATAGTTGGAGAGTGATGTCTGCCGTTACTGACTCTGACATGCTGGCCTAACAATTTTAAGGCAAGAGAAAATGATAGTATTGATATATGTATTTTATTTTCTTCTTCCTTGATTTGTTTTTAATAGGGATCATGAAAAATGTGATTATACAATTGCCTCAAATCGAATCATACTTCATACCAAGTCATCTCTTTCATTGTTGAGTCCCCTAACTGTGTCATAGCATCAGTTGCTATAAAAAGTTTAAATCCCCAGAAAAATGTCCTGATGCAGGAGCTATCTCAAGATACCATGACTATTACAGTTTTTGGAGGGAAGACTGTGGTGTTATTTTTGAAAGCTCGTGGCATTAGTGTATTTGGTATAAACAGTCATTAGTAATTTGGCATAAACAGTCATTAGTAATCAATGAACCACTTGGAGTTAAGCCAGCCACAACTTGCAGTATCTCTGAGGGTCAGGCAGCCAGGGGTTGCTTCTGTGTTGACAGAATAGAATGAACAACAGCTGTAAAAGCTCCACTCCTGGACTTGCTGTATGTTGGCCACTGCCTTGGCTGGTGAGACAATGTTCTACAGAACTGGAGGTGGTGAGCTCTTTCTAGTTGCCAATTTCTGGATGAAAATAAACATGCGGTGGCTCCCATGTCTCAGTTTTCCACCAGGTATGTCCAGTCTGTTGCCTGTGGGGCTGCATGCATGCCAGGCTAGCTATGAGTGTGGCCCAGCCCAAGGCTGTCAATGTCCATAACGCATTTTAAGATTCTTAGAGTTTATTTTGGAAGTCAGTTGTGTAGTTCTTGAGTATGGATTTTGAGTAACGTTCTGTGGCAGTGTCAAAAGGTTGAACCTACCTGCTGACGAGGCTTTGCCTTGTCTCTTAAAATGGGGAGTTTGAAATGAGAATTCAAGAGGGATTTAGCAAGGTTTTATTACCAGTTAAAAATCAGGGAGTTTGGATTGAAGATTCAACAGTATTAAGAGTATGTTTTTCCATTTCAAACTAATTAATTTATGTTCTCTTTGAGCAAAAGGGACACCAGTTTTAACACCCTTACTTAGAAATTTCTATTCTTGTGTGGTCACCATAGGCGGCAGCCCTGTCAAAAAGTCTAATTAAATTAAAAAATTATTTAAACAGAGAAAAACATTCTTTTCTGGCTAGTCACAAATTGCACAAGTCAAAAAACAAATTCTGGGAAGAAATTGCCTGTGGATATTTTTTCTTTCTGTTCTCCGTGTTCTGCTACTTTTTCCCCTGGTGTCACATCTCAAGTTGAATTCAGTCAATTATCTATAACAAGCCCAAAGTATGCAAATGTCTCCTCCATTAGTGTCCTTTATACTTGGCTACCAAATGAAGCATTTTTTCCCTCCCTTTGGGAGGCTATTCAATCAAAACACAAATGGAACATTTTATAACTTCTCTTGCCACTTTGAAAACATAACTTGATTTAGTTATTTGAAAAGGTTTTTTTTGCAAGAATTTTTGTTGTTGTTAATATTACATTTGCTATAAATTTTGTTGAAGATGTCCAATCCACTGAGTATTTGCATTTGTTACCATGGAAAGGATGTTACGTATGTGAAGGGTGTGGGGCGATGTGTATCTTGTTTTCCTTTTTTTTTTTTTTTTGTTTTGAATTTAAATTTTTCACCTTTTGCTCACCTGTGTAGTGATTTCAAATATTTTTGTAGGTTCTTTAATAAATAAAAAATGTAGACGTATGTTATAGTAAATATCAAGTATAATTAGTTGTTGGAATTTAGTGGTAAATAAGGTAGGTATTAGAGAGGGAAATAGTAAAACTCTGTCTCTCCGAGCGTTGCAAAGTCCCCTGATTCTGATTCTCGATATTCTCTGCTCCAGCCCTCTCTTCATGGAACATTCTTGTGGCCCAAAAGGCAGAGGAGCCGAGCAGCAGTTTCCCTTCCCGGCTCACCATGTGCACAGTTATTTCCTCCCTGCTACAGAAGCATGCAGTCTGGCCTCTCCCCTCCCTGCCGGCCCGGTTGCCCTGTGTTCTCAGGAGTAGATGAACAGGCTCTCCTGTCAGAGAGGTAGCTGTGAAGCTGTTCTTGGAAAATTACCTATTTTTCCCTACCCCTAATGAATGTTATTTCAGGGACACAAACCTCCCCGGACTCATACTTCATAACAAATGACCTACGAAAAAGCACGGGACAGAGAAAAATAAACCAGAAGCCGGTTTAGTTGCTCAAGCAACTTGGTGGGTTATCATTTCCTCTCAGCGTTATTCCTGCTAACAATAAAAGGGAAGCTGAAGGTTACCTCAGGGTTTGTCTGCGGGCTCGCCCTTTGGTGTCTGGGGGTGGCTCTGGTCCTTTAACGCCGGTACTTGCTTGGATTGCCACACCAGGAGATCTTGCTCCGGCTTCAGACTGTGCAGATCACCTGTCCTCCTTCCCTGAGACAAAGAAGCTGTGGTTTTTTTTTTCCCCCCTCTGGCCTTTCCAGGCAAAGTGACTGTATAGATAAGCAGAGTGCTGTGTGGAATATCTCCTCTGCTGCGCTCCAGCACAGCCCTTCAGCTGTCCAGAGCCAGTTAGACTTGTTATGAGGAGCTAACTGATTGGCTGGATCCGGGATCAGTTTCATAGATTATAGCCCGGCGGTTGGGAAGCACCAGCTCTATAGTTGCTGTAGTCCCGGGGCTTGCCAGTTCCTGTCTTAATGCACATGTTGTTGTCATTGAGTCCTAGCACGGCCTTGGATGTTTCTGTCCTAAATAGCTGACATTGCATCTTCAAGACTGTGTGAGTAATCCAGATTTTTTTTTTTTTCAAAGCTCAGGAAATTAATTACATGCCCTGGGAGGGAGTGATTGTAAGGAGAAAATACTGAACTAGCAAATGATTCATTTTCAAGGTGCTTTGCTGTATGTATCGAGTTCAATGCGATGAATCTCAAAGCTCCTGGGACCTGGCAGGGTTATTCCTGCTTTTTCCCCACTGTGAATCACAGCCAAGCTGCATTTGAAGGCAGCTTTTGGAGGCATTTGTTAACTCGGCTTGTTTTATGGGGGTCTATAAAGTGATAAAGTCTAACACCAGCAGGTTGAAACAGAATGCAGTGATCTCAAAGCATAGTTTAGAGACCCGAGTCAGGCAAATTGCAGGGTTTCCTAGCCGCCCTGTCCAAACCTGAGTGATTAGCAACGAATATCCCTGAGGGGACTTAGGTCCAAACAGAGAGCCGGGAAGGAGAAACGGTAGCTGGAGTATTCCTTCTCTGTTCTCAAGTTAATTTAAGATGCACACCACGAATAACTAACATAATTACTGGCGCAAAAATGCTCTTTGGGGAATTTGTTTATTTGACAGAGGGCTGGATGGGAAACCGGGAGCCTCTTTTCAAACGCTGTGTGAGAAGCAGATTAAACACATACACACACAGAAATCTAAGGGTGGAAAGTCTGCGGCTTGGAGTCTGTGGTTGGAGAAGATCAAATTAGCCCAGGAAGCCCTTGATAGGTTTGTGTGATTACGGGGGGAACTTCTGTTGTTAACAAGGTTCAGGGTAAAGCTGGAGCAGACTGAAGGGGGAGAGCCTCACTCTCCATTCTCTCTGTTTCAGCCCTGAAATCACACCGAGTGTGAACTGGTAAAGGCAAGCAGTTTGTTTTACTTTTAAATCACTGTTGATCTCTCCTGGCCTTTAACACACAAAAATGGTAGTGATAGGGCTTTGCTTATGGAGTTAGTGCCTATAAAAAATTTCATCCTCTCAATTTATATATATATATATTATATATGTATATGTGTATATATGTGTGTATGTACATATACATATATATATATATATATATATATAATTTTTCTGTATATAGCTTAAAATGAGACTATTTCTTGTAGTTTTGGGTGGTTTTCCAGGTTGCTTTTCATCCAATTTTTTCTCGTTAGACTTGTTGATTCAAATCCATGTATTTGTGCTGTGTATGTCTCAAGCACCAATAATCTGAAGAGTTTTTAACACCCTGAGTTTCTGTGGCAAATATGAATTCCTAATAGCTATCGTAATTACTTGCCAAGTCCTGTACAAATAACATTTATAGACTTAAAGCAGTTTAATTTGGGTTGTACATATTTAAACAGCACACATGATTAGCTTGTAAGAGAGACATAGTCATTATGGTTTTACAAAATTTCAATTTTATATTAAGTTTATTGTTAAAAGTATTTTTTCTTTGTGAACTACCACCTCTTTTAGATCATACCAGGGGATGAAATTCTTTAAAAGACGTGTTGTCAACATAGAATTCTTGTCTATCAATCAGATGTACATAAGATAGTAATAAATGGAAATAAAATGTAGTCCATGTAAGTGCATTTACTGTGTGAACAAATGCTATAAAGAGTTCCTTCACTGTGGCAAAACAGAGTTTGTTCATTATAATAGCCAAGGATGCTAGGAAAGGTGGTTGACTCACTTCCGGTTTTTCATTCCTAATCAACTCTGTCAGTGGGAAAAGGTAAGAGGTGCTTCCGTGACAGTGAGACACCCCTTCCCCAGGTGTTTGTGGCCACCTAAGAGTGGGAAGTGGTGGGTGGAGGCTGCCTTAAGAGGGACTAGCTTTCGACACCCTGCTCAGCTCCCTTTCTTATCTAGGATCACAGCATAGCTTTCATTGCGGCTTTTAAAAATATTTCTTTTATTTTGGAATTATAATTGCATCATTCCCTCTTCCTTTTCCTTGCTCCAAAGCCTCCCATATGCCTCTCATTTCTCTCTTTCAAATTCATTGTTGTTACATGCATAGATGTATCTACATATATATTCCTAAGTGTAACTTGTTCAGTCTGTGTGATGTGACCTGTATGATTGTTTTCAGGGTTGAGCATTTGGGTGTTGGATACCCAATTGGTGTGCTCTTCCCTAGGTACTTGCAACAGACAGAGACCATTACAGAAAACCTTGGTAGCTTTTGCATCCTTATCTTTCTCACCTTTATTCTTTACACTACTTTTCTTGGGCTCTTTCTGGGATAAATGAAATAACTTATGATTATTTATCAAACACTAATTTGTGTATACAATTTACAGAGTGTTTGGAGCCAGGAATCAGAGATCCTGGTAGGTCTGTGTGGGGATATTTGTATCTTGTGTTGACTGATATTTCTAGGACCTTCATGCTTTCCATTCTTCTGGGCATGCCTGGGTCCCAGCCCTTTTTGCAAAGGGCAAGTGATTAACCAAAGGAATTCAGAGTTGCCAGGGGCCCAGGGGACAGTGGGCTGTGGGAAAAAGAAAATGTCTCTCCAAAAGCAGCAACTGATCTTTATTCTCTCTGCTCTTCTCTATTTTCTAAAGTCTTTTTTTTTTTTTTTTTTTGGCTGACTGTGGAACTTCTGTTGCAGAGAAGTTTCTGTAAAACTATGCATGTCTGCCACAGACAGATGGATTTGACAAAAGATGTATCCAAGAAGGAATGTATTACATCATGAACTTGCTAAGTGGCATTTGGAAACTATTAACACTACCTACTAGTTCAATGACATAAATCCAAATTCAAAAAAAAAATTCTTGATTGAACTACATTTTCCAGTGTTATTTAAAATTTTGTTTTTGGAAAATCTTGCTCTTCCCTATGACATTTTTCCTGTGATATACAGGGGGCTAATCTGATTGCTTACCTTTGCCTGAGGATTTAATGATTTCTAGTGAATGTTTCCAAGACTGGCTATCCCACCTTGAGCATGCATTAAAGAAAGCAGTGCACAGCTCCACCTCACAAAGTAATGTGTGCTACCAAATATTAAATACTTCAGACCTATATCATCCCACTCCTGTCCCCCACTGGCCACACACTGGTGTAAGAGGAGCTCTCTCTTAACTTGTAGGCAATCAATTAGTTCATCTTTATGACAGTTTCCAGTTATATTGATGACCAGCCCAAATTGTGTTCCCGTAATTTCAAGAAGCAAGGTCTCCCAGTGAATCAGTCTTGGTATCCGTGGGATCACACGCAGGTCATGAAATATTTCTAAGCCTCAGTCTCTGCCTGTAAAATCAAAGTAGGATACACGTTCTGGAGTTTGAATGGATTGTTGCGTTTCCACGGGGCAATGAGAAAGTGCTTGTGAGAGAGCATTGTAAGACGGACTTTGTAATGCACTGTACATGTGGTTGTTATTGTAGCAGTTCACTGTACCAGGCTCAAGGTACTTGCCTCCTAAAAACAGACTCCCAGGGATGAGGAATGCTGTAAAAGCAAGTCTTCTTTTGGTATTGAAAAGTTATAAAGGGCTTCAATTCTTATCTCTCCACAGCTTGAGTGTTAAAAACACAAGTGGCTTTTCTGTGATAAGTAAATGTGGACATGAATGTGCAAACACACTCAGTTAACTTGGTGCCATATAAATGTCACCCATTGCAATGATTATCAGTATGTGAATAGAAGCTATTTACAATTTATCACCTTTACAATGGGAACTCTCAGATGCATTTCTTATTGATTAGTTAACTTTCTACGCTACATCTGTTTCTCTCGAACAGGACAGATATCTTTAGTTGGAAAGCCTGTGTGATGATTTTTCTTCCACTTAGGTAAAACACCATGGCAACGCTTAGGTAAGCATTCCCTTGCAGCCTGAATGTAGAACTGTTAATGACGTAGTTTGAGAGGACATCATTTCCTCATAGGAAAAACTGAGTTTAAAAACTCAGCATGACAAATGTTCTTGGATTTCTTTCTTTCTTTTTGTTCTTTTTTTTTCAATCTTTGTTAAATTTCTCCAACAGACTGTTCATGCAGGTTTTAAGGAAATGTTTATCCCTGGATCTTTTTATTGTAACTTTCTGATTGAGGAAGCTCAGTCAGCAGGTTTGAATCCCCAGTTTCCAGCTGGTTCTGCTTTGGAAGGCTACCATCCTTTTTGGAACACTAGCCAGAGCTGTGTCCTATGTATTTTAGTGGTGTGAGGAAACTTTCTAGAAACAAAGAGACTTTATTAAGAGTAGTTTGAAAAATGGATCTGAGATCACATTGTCTTGGCTTTCTTGTGCCTTTGGTGATGAGATGAAGTTTTCTTCATTATTTAAAATGTTTAATAAAAAGTGGCAACTTTTCAGTAACAGTTTAGTGATGATCAGTAGTTATGTTCCAGGAACATAAAAATGAATAAAACATGGCTTCCTCAAGCAGCTTCATTCAGTAGTTTATTTTATGTTTACATAACTTTCAAGTATCTCTACAAAAAGTGGTTCCTTTGGGTTCATTGTTCTTTGCTTAAAGTGTTTAGTGCGACCAAAATGCTGTGTAGAGATAGTTTATGAAACTATGTTTTTTAAAGAGCTGGATTTTTTTTTGTTTTTTCTTTTTGTTTTTTCAAGACAGGGTTTTTCTGTGTAGCCCCTGATGTCCTGGAACTCTGTAGACCAGGCTGGCCTCGAACTCACAGAGATCCTCCTTCCTCTCTGCCTCCCGAGTGCTGGGATTAAAGGTATGTGTCACCACCACCCAGCCTAAGAGCCAGAATCTTGTGTAGTCCTATAACTATGTTTTCTGGACAAAGGAATGGTGGCCCCAGCATGTTACTGGGTTTGTTTAATCTTCACACATAGAATTTATCCAATAGTTTTCTCCTTACCCATGGTTTTAGTTTTTATGATTTCAATTACTGATGGTCTAATATGCTCTGAAAAAGTTAAATGAAAATTCCACAAATAAGTAGTTCATAAATTTTAAATTGCACACATACCACATAGCATGATGTTATGCTCTGCCCCACCCCAGGATGTAATTATCTTATGT